GAAAGATTAAAGATTATATATATTATATATATAATAAAAATAAAAATAAAAAAATATTTTTCTGAAGTTCAGGAATTATTTCAGTATAAGAATAAATTCTAGTGAGGGAATAGTCAGCCTTTCTGGACAAGTGGATATATTTAGAATTTTGAGATCATGCCACAGAAACTGTGACAAAATGCCTGCTGTGGGATATGGACTTGCCTTCTTATAAAACAGCTTAACCTAGTTGGCCAAACCATATCTGAGCTGAAAAAGTCCAGATGATCACTGGATGACAGCAACAAGATAAAAAATTCTATAACGTTTAAGTGCCATCTAGTGGGTTCTCTGTTGGTGAGCCTAAACATAGTGGGCATGGCCAGTCTTCAGACAACCATTTATGGTAAACTGGTTGCCCCCTGTCTCCCTTTTTAGTCCTCTATATGCTGTCTATTCATTCACTTAATCCACTGCTTTTATTAATCACAAGGATGATCATGATCTGATAATTCACCTTTACATATATAATTGTCATTGAAATGAAATGGTTTCTGTTGATAGCAAATTAAGATTGTGGTAGCTACATTGTTATGATTTGATAAGCATTAACTCTTTCTCCCCCTTGTAGACCAAGAGAACAAGGTCCAAGCAAACTACAAAACATGACTTCTGATGCTAGTCACATGCTTGAAGCTGCTCTAGAACAAATGGATGATATCATTGCAGGTATTGTAAGAGTTTATCTTAAAAACCTACTAACACTACATGTGCCATAAAATCTATTTTGTAACTATGATAATGAAAGTTGCACTATTCAGATGAATTCCCATGTATGTCTGACTGTATGAGTCTTTTTCAAGTTATTGTTCACAATAGTTCTGTCTGCTGAGCTATTTTTAAACAGATCAAAGTCAATTTTCTGCAGAGCAGAATGTACTCTGATTTGTAAGAAATCTAGTGGCAATCAGTCGAGTTTATAGGGATAAAATGGTCAAGGAAAGTATAAAATTTAACACCCACATACAAAAAGTAAAGGAACAGGGTGGACGTTTTCAGTGATGCAATAACCATTTAATATTGGAGCAAGAGCCTTCAGAGATTATAAATTAAGTGTATCAATTATTCTAGTTTAAGAATACCAAGAAAAAGAATATGATCTTTATATGGTATAGAAATCAATGTTGTAAAAAAAAAAGCCTCCAAGTTTTAAGAAGCTTCAGGCCAAGAAAAAATAGTGAAAATGACAGAAAAGTAGTGGTTTGTAAAATATCACTTTTAAAGTCATAACAACCTCCTCCTTCTCCTCCCCCTGCCCCTCACCCCCTAATTTTTAGGTCTGGCAGATATCTAGTGTTTTCTGTTCTTTTCAAGTGCATGAGCTGAAAATAGCTCAGTTAAGTTACTCCCCCCTCTAATCATAAAGACCCCCAAAGGCAACCAATTGCATCTCATTGCTCCTACAGAAGGAACGCAAGCATGTATAAGAAAGCTGATACAGTTGAATCAGAGGGTTTCTTTTAAACCAGGAGAATTTTAAAGGTTCCTATAAATACCAGAGCTGTCTATGCTGTAGAAGTAATTTGGAAGAGATTCCTAGTGCAGCATATATCCACAGTTCATTAAAAAAAAAGGCCGCAGGCTTTTGTGTGAGCCTGAAAAAAGGTGCCTCTGTTTTAAGTTTTAGTGATTGCCCAAAGCAGTGGCATCTTTTTTTCAGGCTCATGGAGAGGACTGCAAATACTTGGGATCCTGTACACAATTTTCAAACTTTTTCAGGCCATGGAACCTGTTAGTTAAAAGAAAGAAAAATTTGAAATCCCTGATCAAGATCAAATCATAGAACATTGGCTGTATTCAGGTGAACATTTTCCTCCCTTAGTCCCTCACAGAACCCCATCATGTTCTTGTGGAAACCAATTTGAAATAACGAGGAGAGAGGAGCTACACTCACGAAAGCTTTGAAGAACTTCTTCCCAATCTGTTTGAAAGCCTGCATATCCCTCTCCTTCAGTGCAACTGAGCCTGGCTAAGCCAGTATTTTGGAAATAACTTTGTGTGTGCTAACTCAGAATGGCTATCATGGGAGACTTGCCCACAAAATGGCTGCTGTGGTCATTCACAAGATAATCATTTATCAAAAAGTGAAGTAGCAAGCTTTCTTCATGCCCCTCACTGTAGAACTTCAGAATGCTTTCTGTCATTCCAGCTTACCATTTCTGGGCAGGCCAATTAGATTTAGGGTGCCCTAGGCTACAGCAAGAGCCAGTTTGGTATAGTGGTTAAGGCTAGAAACCAGGAGACTGTGAGTTCTAGTCCTGCCTGAGCCCCAAAGCCAGCTGGGTGACCTTGGGCCAGTCACTCTCTCTCAGCCATAGGAAGAAATCAATGGCAAACCACTTCTGAAATCTTGCTTGGAAAATTACAGGGACTTGTCCAGGGAGTCAACACTGACTTGAAGGCACAAAAAAAACAAACCAAGCCATTTTATTTCTCTAAAAATGCTACTCAGTTTTGCAATCTTAAAACTGTCCCTAAGACTCACTAAATTTGCTGAGGATTTATTAATATTTTTTTCAAAAACCATGTTTTAACTGGTTAACAAAATCAGATGTTTGAACAGTGACATAATACCCAACATCTTTAACCATTGCAATAACTTTCATAACAAATTGTACTGTAACGGGCATGGTCCCTTATACTTTAGGCAGGGCTAATGATAATTTTACAAGCGATAGAAAGGTCTGCCTTAATATTGATTATTGCATCTGCATCCGTTTTCTGTTATGGAAATACTAATTCCAGGATTTTCTAATCAGCAGTGACTGACAAAGCTTATGCTATTTCAGTCCTCATTACTTTAAGTATAATTGAAAAGACAAATTAATTTGCCAAAACTAGTACTTAGAACAATAGCTGCTGTGACTCTGAGACAGCTGGGATCTTCATTTGTTTTAGTTTAGTTGAAACTGATTTAAAAATGCATACTTTATTTGTGTGGCTTCATTTCTTTCATGCTGTTTGAACACATCTTCCTATCTGCTTTCATGCAGCTTAATTAAATTGTGCATTATTTAATTATGAATTTTAGTGAGTTTAGATGTAGTATATTCTTCTGCTGAAACTTCCAGAAATCTCACTGTATAATGATCATAAAGTGAAAATGGTAGAAACTTGCAAAGACAACAGGAAGAAAGAGACATAGTATTGATTTTTTTTTTTAATTCAAAGGGGAAACCATTTTAGCATCCCTTACTGTTTTGATATTATTTTTCATTTAATTTTGAAGTTTTTACAGTTACCCTTGTTGAAAAAACTGTTGGGTTTTTAAGATACCTTTAATAACTCTTATATCCTACTGTATTATAAAAAAAATTAAGAGGTATAAAGAAAACACAGCGAGTTAAAAGGGAAAAACATACACATAGTGAAAAGGAGACAATAAAAACATGCTACATAGAAAAAATCTGCTCTATTTTTAATCACATCATTAAACTTGAACAAGTGAAATAATATTGATGAGTCTTTCCATTACATCAGTAGAGAGCCTGACCACAAACGTATCAGTGCTTCAAGCTTGTAAATCCAGGGTTTTACTCTCTCTCCAACTTAGAAGAATAATCCTTAAATTCATAATTCTTCATATAGTATCAACTTCCAAGCTTTGAGTATATAATTCAAAAGTATATATCCTTAAATCATATTGATCTTTTACTAGCATATTAACAAGCATATGGATATTAACCTAAAATGGGCAAGACTGGGACAAGCCCATATCATAGAAGTAATTGTGCCATTACCCATTTTACACTTCTAACTTAAGGAAGTTATTAGTCAATCCTTTTCCAGCATTCTCTTAAGTGTCCAGTGCATGTGAAAACAATCTTTTCTTGAATTAGTTTCATTTATGAACTGAAGAAGTATACTAAATAGTTTTTAAGACCCTTAGCCACTTACCTGTAATATCATTAAGATGAATATTAGGGTTTTTTTTATCCATCTCAGCAAGTTCTGTCAGTTTCCTCAACCATTCCTCCATTTGGGTAATACCAAATCTTTCCATCCTTGTGGATATAGTAATCTCACCACAGTGATCATATGTTGAAATAATCTTCCATGGCTTTTTTCCTAACTCTTTATCCATCAATCCTAAAAGGAAAAGTTCTGGCTTCAGTTGAATATTAATCTTTAAAATCCTCTGTATCAATGTATGTATTTGAATACAATTTTTTAAAGCTTTTTTACATGTCCACCAAGCATGATAAAATGCCCCTTCATGTTGTTCACATTTCCAGCATACATTTGAAATGTCTTCATATGTTCTGGATGATTTTTCTGGTGTCATGTACCAACAATATATCATTTTATAAAAATTCTCTTTAAGATTATAACAATGTAAATTTCAACCCTTTTAACTTGCTGAGATAGACAAACTGACTTCTTTGATTAGAGAAAGGACAATATCTACATTTATC